ATTGCTCTGCATTACTTTCGGTAAATTAGTCTCCATGTGTTTATTTTGGAATCAAAATTCTAAGTCTTTTCATCTCAAAGGTCAAAATCGGTTATCGAGATTTTACTAAGCAAAACAAGCATTTAACATGTGCATCAATAGATTTATCGGATCAAAAATATCTTTCTAGGGTTATTTTCCACTTTCAGGGACAATCATTGTCTTTATATATCATAGGGTATTTTCGTAATTTCTTATCATAGTATTTTCGACATTTAACCTTTAATAAATTAATCTGAATTTACGGATCCTAAGATTAATTGATTTACTGATTAATCACTGAACTTGAAATTATTTCTTATTAGTCTTCTAGTTCCTTACACAATTTAATCGAGTCTTATTCAATCACTGCCTTTATATGAATTTAGTTCGTGTCCCGCAACAAATAACCTTACATAAATAACCTTATAATTGATCAATCATTTCCATTGCATTTACCAATTATCCGAGTTCTGTAAAGCATAAAAGGTAGTAGAATATTATCTCGATATCTGAGCAATCAATCGACCAATTAAACTCCATTCGGTTCCATTGAACTTGAATTTGACGTCCCATAAAGTCTCGAATACATAGCAAAACAAATTACGTCAAAATAGACCTTAATTGGAAAAACTATTCGATCAAAAGATAAAATGCTGAAAAATAGCTTATCAAGTTCGAATTTGGTGAAATGGACTTTGAATTCGGACTCAAAACGTCAAAAAACATAAAATATGTTTTTTTTAAAAATTTTATTTTTTAGTCAAAGTCGACGGTTAACGTGATCAAAGGTCAAAATCAACTTTGGGCATGTCAACGGCCAGACCATTTCGAGTTGACGCAAGACTCAATTCTGTCTGAGTTGACTCATACGCCTTCTAGAAAATTCTCGGAGGAGCAGTTCCCACGTGCATGGGTGTCATGTGCGACAGCGATGAGGTTGTTTTCGGCATACCAATTGCTCCAAATACATTACTACACCACAAGCAACCCAAATCAACACAAATAACCAGCCAATCCACGCTGAAATAATTCAAAAATGATCGAAAGCTTACCCTGGTGACATATGACGGAAACGACGATGGTGGAACGACCTACCAGTTGGGTTTTGCTCGGAACGACGCATGGAGTTCAATGTTAAAAGCGTTGATGCAAACGAAGATGTCAGAATCACTCTAAACAGTAGCGTCGATGAGGTTTCTAACAAATTTCAAATGGTTCTCCACCGCAAATGGCGAGGTCTCACAACGAGCTCTCGACGGGGTTTTGATCGTGGTTGCTTGGCTTTCACACTGGCACCAGTGGTGTACACCACGAACGACGGGAAAGGCTAACGGCAGTGAAGTGGTGACGTTAAAGTTTAAACGAAAATAGGGATTTTGGTTTGGCTTGATCATAATGAGGGGTTTGATTTGGAGATTTTAAAACTAGGTAACTTTAAGAGATATTTTCATTATTATATTTTTTAAACAGTACCAAGCCTACATGGTAGAGGTGTGGTTCTCCATGCTTTCTGACGTAAGTTGAATGAAAGAGAATTCTTGCTAATAGGTCGTTTGAATATGTGTTCATTCATAAAAAAAATAGGATCAGACCTAATTGTGTATTGATACTTGTTGGGTATAGAATAGATATGCTTTTCTTTTCTTTTTTGAGCCAAAATTTTCCCTTGTTACTAATGGAATATAACAAATATTAATCATTTCTCTAAAAGAATCACCTAAAAGGTTGATATTCCAATGTAATAAAGTTATATAATGTCTATTTTTCGTTGATAAAAGAGTATTTTTCATGAGTTTACCTTAGTATCGTGTTCATACTGTTATATTGAATGATCCAATTGCTTGTTTTCCTTTCATATAGTGAATTATGTATCAAGTTTAGATGGAAGTTTTGAGGTCAAAGAAAAATGGGTAAACCCGAGCCTAAGGCCTTGACTAGCTGGAAGTTTTTAAAACTAGCCTTTTGTTTTCAAAAACTCACAATTTGGTCCCATTTAATAATCGATTAAAAATTATAGAAAACAATTAAAAATTAGGGTGATGCAAATGTCACGTCATTGTACAAGTTATGTGCATTACTGTATCAGTAAAAAGCAAATTTTATATTTTAAGGTGAATACCCCCAACATTTTATTTTGCGAGAAATTTACGAGGACCTTAATGATCCCTGATCAAGATTCTTTTTTCCCCTGAATAAAGGCTTCACCTGAATAAAGGCTTCACAACTGAGGTCGCAAGAAGCAATTCAACAAACCGAAGAGGAAATTCAGATGCATGGTGGCCGATACGGTGTCTAAATATAAAGAAAACGTTGACTCCACAGTTTCTAAGACGAGGGTTAGTCTCCAGAAACCGCTGCGGCTGTATCCGATGCTTAAAGGGTTCATTGTCAACACAGTTCACTGTAGTGCCAATGCAAGTAAGTAGTATTAAACTGAAATTCTGCAGATTAATGATTGAGGTAAGTCTTTTCTCTTGTTGCTCAAACGACTGGCTTGTTTTTTTATAGCCGATTCACATAAATCATGACATTTTAGTTATTTTAAATTACAAATCCCATTTCATCCTTTTATGTACAGGTTTTGTTTTGACTAAAATGTTTGATGCCAGCCAGTGCTATTGGTGAGACTGGAATCTTGTAAAGTGATAATGAATACTCAATCAACTAAGTCAACTTATGTTGACTTTTCGGATACTATATAGAAAAATTGGTAAAAGATAAGGGTATTAATAAGGTTGTGAATGACAATAATTTGAGGTTCATTAATATATATATTAGTCACATACTTCTAATTTTTAATTTTTTTAAAAAATCGTGTAGTAAATAAAATGTTGTCGGTTTTTGAATCTTCTAATAATATTATGTAGTAGAGAAATCAAATTAAAAAGTTGAAATATATGTAAGTAGAAATCAAATTATATCAATTCAAAACGTTAGCAGAATAGAGGGGTTATAACTGTAATTAGGTTTATTTACTTTAAAATTTGGCTTATAATGTGTTCCTTACCTTTAAGAAAGTGAATGAAGCGACGCCGTTTGTGTTTAAATGGGTCCCGGTGGTCAGATGCATTTTTCAATTTTGAATTCCAATAAAATTACAAAGGGTAAACTACACATGAGACCACTAAGCTATTGTCAAAATCAATGTAACTAATGAACTTTCAATTGAATCACTCAGACCACCCAATTATTTAATTGATTCAATCAAACCACCGACCGTTAATTTTTAACAGAGGCGGTGACGTGTTCATTAATAAAATTGACATAATTATATATTTTTTCCTTAATATTTACATATTCTATCAATTTAGTCACTATTTTAATTCAATTAAATAAATTTAACTATCTAATTAGAATGTGACACGTCTTAATACATGATTGGAAATTTTTATTTATGAATTTTAAATTATTTAATTAAATATTTTTTCTATCCAATCAGGTGGTAACACGTGTCACCACCAATTAAAATAAAAATAAAGGGACAAACATGCTTGCAAGGAGAATCGAACCTGTGCCAATGGGAAAAAACTACCAGACGCCCAAACCATTGAACCAAAATTCAACAATGGTTTAAACTTACAACAAATTGTATTTTACTTGTAAAAGTTTGTTAATGATAAAACATTAAACAAATTATTTGTTTAAACAAATTATTATTTAAATTAATTGAATATGTTTTTTTGAATTAAAAATATTCAATTGTTATATAAATTAGAAAATTTTGGTTAATTCAAAAATTGACTGAATTAATCGAAATTTGTTCGGTTCGGTTAATAATTTTTAAATAAATTTTTGTTAGATTAATGGTTAAAGAAAAAATTCAGTTAATTCTGTTCAGTTAATAATTTTCAAATAATTTTTTATTCGATTAACGGTTAAAGAAAAAAATTTGGTTAATTAGGTTTGTTTAATCGAACCAAAATTTATTTGAACATTATTAACCGAATTGAATTAATTTGAAAATTATTAATCGAACCAAATTAACCGATTTTTTTAATTATTAACCGAATTAATCGAAGAAAAAATTTGGTTAGTTCGGTTCGGTTAATTGAACCAAAATTTATTTGAAAATTATTAACCGAACCGAATTAATTTGAAAATTATTAACCGAAGTGAATTAACCGTTTTTTTTAAATTATTAATTGAATTAATCGAAGCAAAAATTCTATTAATTCGGTTTAGTTAATCAAACCAAAATTTATTTGAAAATTATTAACTGAACCGAATTAATTTGAAAATTATTAACCGAACCGAATTAATCAAATTTTTTTCTTTAACCATTAATCTAATCAAAATTTATTTGAAAATTATTAACGGGACAAATTTCGGTTAATTCAGTCAATTTCTGAATTAATTAAAAAAATTTAAAATTTTCTAATTTATATAAAATTTGAATATTTTTAATTCAAAAAAACAGTTTACAATTAATTTAAATGATAATTTGTTTAATTTTTTTATCATTAACAAACTTTTACAAGTTAAATACAAATTGTTATAAATTTAAACCATTGGAAACCTTTGGCTTAATGGTACTTTACTCCCTTACCTTGGTTTGATTTCCCTTGCAAGCAAGTTTGTCTTTTTATTTTCATTTCAATTGGTGGTAACACATGTCTCCACCTGATTGAATAAAAAAATTATTTAATTAAACAATTTAAAATTCATAAATAAAATCTTCCAATCATAAATTGACATGTGTTACATTCTAATTGGATAGTTAAATTTATTTAATTAAATTAAAATAGTGACTAAATTGATAGAATATATAAATATTAAGGACCAAATATATAATTATGCTAATTTTATTAACAAACACATCACCACCTCTTTAAAAATTAACGGTCGGTAGCTTGATTGAATTAATTAAATAGTTAGATGGTCTGATTGATTCAATTAAAAGTTAGGTGGTCACATTGATTTTTAACCATAATTTAATATTTTCTTGTGTAGTTTACCCAATTACAAAAGGCTCCAAACAACTATTGAGCGGGAAAATGTAAAGCTGAACGGTGAGAATTCCCATAAACACAAGACAGATCTAAAACTTAAGGAAACTAAAAATTCAAACACCCGCCGGCGCCTTGACGGATAAAAAAATGAGGCCCACCGCACGCGGCCGCAACACTGACTCCTTCCATCCACCGGCGTCACAACAATCGCGTGATTCCGATGCCAGTTTTGCCAGTAGCCGGCCATCTTCAGTTGCTATGGGCCGCGCCGTCTCGGCCTCCGAGCCCTACGCCGACCGCTCGTTCCAAGCGGCGACCATCCGTTCTATCAACGTTTTCTTCTCCTCCCACTCAATTCCTCCTATGTCCACCAAACACTCTCAAGCACCATCCGCTAAAGAGCTCTTAAATATTCTCACCTCCCTTCTTTCTCTTCTTGGTTTCCCTTGCACCAAACTCGAAGATGACCTAGGGTTTCTACTGAAATCTCTTAATTGCCCCTTCAAATTCAACAAATCCACCCTCCGTGCCCCTAATACTCCCCACAATTGGCCTAATTGGCTTGGTATCATTCACTGGCTGGTCCAACTTGCAATCTACTATGAAAATTTATATCAGAACTCCACATCTTCTTTTGCTCAAAACAATAGCATGACTGAATATGCTTTGGAATGTTATACACGGTTTATACGAGGGGAGGATGATGTAGTGGAGGTTTTGGATAAGGAGTTCGTGGAGAAGCTTGAGAAGGAGAGGGAAAATGTGGTGGAGAACTGCAGGGCTTTGGAGAAGAGTGTTGGAGAACTGGAGGCTCAAGCCGAGCGGTTAAGGACCGGGCCAACGGAGAGGGAAAAGCTAGAGAAGGAAAAGAATGTGTTGGAAGAAGATGTAAAGAAGTTTCAGGCGATGATTGCTGAGTTTACAGGGAGGGTTGCTGCATTGGAGAAGATGTTGGAGGAGAAGCATAAGGAGTTGAATACGAAGGAAGAGGAGAGGAATCGGATTTGTGAGGAGACTGAGGAGCTTAAGAATAGAGTGGAGTTGCAAACTTTTAATGCTAGAGATGTGGAGAGGATGAAGAGGGAGATGCAGGCTGTGGAGAAGGAAATTGTGGACGCAGAGGTTGCGAGAAATTCCTGGGAGGACAAGTCTTGGGATCTTGATTCTGCTATAGCGCAGAAGTTTAAAGAGCTTATGGCACTTGCAATGGAATGCAACCAAGCAATTAGGAGGTTTCCTGGGCTTTTACTTTGATATCTTTATCCTGTGTTTTATATTTACATTTCTCATGATTTTTTTTGACATCTTGCTTATGCATTTGATCTGGATTTTGGTTTTCTACTACTAATAAGTTCAAACTATGGATTAGTGAATCCTTCCTTGAGGTGAAAAATGGAATTTAAATGCAATTGTTTTAGTCATAGCTGCTGAAAGTTAAGGTAATGGAAACTGGTTTTCAGTGTATTGCGAAGTTTATTTTGGGTTTTAAGAAATCAATGCACTTGTTTTAAGAGCTTTTCTGCCCTTTTGCCCATGGGTTTTGGATGAGTTTCTTTCCTCCTTTCTGCTCTAGATCTTGTCTCTGACTCTGTTCTGTGAAGTCTATGTTAAGATTCTGAATTTGTGTTTTCTGTTTTGTTCATTATTTTGGTATGCCTGGATTTGTTATTCAGTACGTTTTCCACTTGTGAGTTGGTAAACAATTAATAGTGAGGGTCTCATTTTTCTTTGTGGTTTTAGGTTAAAGCTTGGTAATGATTTCCAGTATGTGTTGAACGCCAAAGGTTCATCACCCGCTGAGGTGATGGGGATTGACTACAAAGCTACACTTAAGCCTGAGCTCGAAAGCTATGCTGACAAAATAAGGGAGAGTTCTAAGAGAAAGTTTGAAGACTTGATCGTCCTTCAACAACAATCAAAAGAAATGGCTGCCACAATTGAGGACAAGAAAACCACTATTGCTACACTTCAATCCCGTATTGATGAAGTAAGTAATTTTAAATCAGGTCTGCTCAGTACAATAGCATTATAGCAGTATACTGATATGATCATTTTGTTCGAGTCCTTTTTGGTGCATGTCATGACCAGCTTGTATATATGTCAGGATTTTGATCCGTTCACCAAGTTTTCTTTCTTACCACAAAGCCTTTGTTTAATTTGACCTTTATGAAGATTGAAATTCTATAGCCATACTTTTTGGGGCATATAGCCATATAACTTCATGCTCAAAGTTATTATGCTTGATGGCTCAGTCTCCTCTCTCTTGATATATGAAATCACTTAAATTATCCCTGACAGTAGCGTGATGATCCATATCTTTATTTTGCTACTTTGAGGTATCTAAGCTTGTAAGCAGTGCAAGATGATAAATGTATTAATTTCCACATCCTATAACCCGTTTTTGTTGTTTAATTGGGATAAAATGTTCAGTTTTTGCGGAAATATGATGAACACAAGAAAAAACCATAGCTTTCCTGGAAGTTCTTGTTGCATTCCTCAAAAGGCATCCGACCACTGAATATCCCAGATCCAAGAATTTATCAATCTTGAAACAGAACTTTCAGGGTGACTCTATTCCATCTTGACCTTTTGTTCTTCCATTAACCTTCATTCCCAGAGATATCTCTTATATTTTTGCCCTTTTTATCGCAAATAATTGTGTGCATTCTATTTCATTGGTGCTAATGCTGAAAATACAAATAAAACTTGCCAGTAATGCTCAATCCCATATATTGTAAAGGGCCATTTTTTTAAGTTAACCTCCTATATTAATCGTTCTTGTCAGGTCGAAGCCCAAATAAATTTATGCAAGAAGAAAATGCAGGAAAGTGATCATAGAAATAATGCTGAAGCCAAGAAAATGGTTGAGGATGTCCAATTTGAAGCTCATAATTTAGATATTGCAGAAAGAGAAGCAGCAGAGATTCAAAAGGTAGGCCTTTTTATTGATATTTTGCTTCCTTGGCTATAAATAAATAGATATCCGCCATCAAATTTTCTATTTTTCCTTTAATGAAGGCTTCTCAACTGAGGTTGCAAGAAACAATTCAACAAACCGAAGAGGAAATCCAGATGCATGCACGTCAACTCTTTATGGTGGTTGATTCGGTGTCGAAATATAAAGAACATGTTGAATCGAAAATTTCGGAGATGAGGATTAGTCTCTCCGAAACTGCTGTCGTGGTATCGGAGGCTTATAAGGGTTCATTGTCAGAACAGATCACTGGTGGTGCCAGTGCAAGGTAGTGGTAAGAAGCTGATAATCAGTGATCCTATGATTAAGGTTAGTCTTTTCTCTTGTTGCTCAAACAACTAGTTTGCTTCTCGCAGCTGATTCACATAAATTATACTGTTATTTGTTTTAAGTTGCATTTTCCATCCTTTTTTTGTAAAGGTTTTGGGTTGATTAAACGTTTGATGTTTCTTTTTGCTAGTTCTTTATATGTAACCCTTGTTCATATAGGGATGGACATGACTTAAATTCGATGGTTTCGATTTGACCCGACTATAAGATTGATTTTTTGTTGTTGAAAATTTAGACTGTCGGTCAAATTCAGATTTAGCTGATAAACATTCGACTTGACCTAAGATAATAATATAATTATTCTTTAAATATTTAGGGATAATTATAATAATATTCATCTCTCTATTTTTTCAATTAAATTTTTATTTGCCTAATAAAATTTAATTAAATTTAACATCGAGTGAAACTCCCTAAGTTCATGTTAGTTTGAATGTTGCGTGAAATGATATGATACTTGGGTTGAATTCAAGTGAGTCAAACTCTAATTTTACTAGATCCATTCTCATTCTTATGTTCATATAGTATTAATTATTTATATTATAGATTGATAAAAGATTTAGGTTTAATACATAAATGTCTAAATTACACATTGAAATATAATTTAGTGTCTAAATAATTTTTTGTTAAAAATAGGTATTAATGTTTTTTCTATTATATTTTTAGGTGTCTATCGTTATTTTTTTTGTAATATGAAAAATATATTTTTATATAAAAATAAAAACAATTAAATTAAAAAAAAAAACTCTTTCCCTCACCGTCCCCTTCCCCCGTTTTCCTCTCCTCTCCTGTCTTGTTCACCCCCCATCCCCACCTTATTGTACAATTTCTTCAAATCTTGCAAATCACCTTTGCAAATTGTGGAACGGTTTAAATGGCCCTACATCATTTGCAAATTACACGATCGACGATGGGCTTATGAGATTATGGTTAGAAATTTGGGGTTTAAGTTTAGAGATTTATGTTTTGGGATTTATGAATTTGAGGGGATTTAGATAATAGTAAGAGGGGAGGTTGGCAGTGGAGGTCCGACGATCGGTGGGTGATCGTTTGGTGGTGGTGAAGGCGGTTGGTTGGCTATGTTGGTAACGTGGGTTGGGGTCTGTTTTATAATTTATGAAAAAAAATGGATTTTCTTTTAAATCAATAATATTATTTTATAAAAAAATAAAAAGATTTAAAAAATTATGAGTTACGGCTCATATTTTAATTACTGTTACATCTTAGATATTTAAAAATGTAACGTTAAAAATATTAAACACTATTTTAATAAAAAATACGTTAGACACTAAATTATGTTATGAGATATAACTTAAATATTTATTTTTGTATTAAGTCAAAAGATTTAATATCAAAGTTTCACTCATTATACTTTAAATTTTTTTACAAATTGAGATTTTGATCACCATGTCAGTCATTGTCAATTATTAATTATTGTTTTGATCATTGTCAACTGTCGTTTTAATCATCGTTGGTCAAATGAAGAGAAAAAAAAAGACAAAAAAAAGAAGGAAAATAACAAGGAAAAGGGGGCTATTGAAGACCTCATTACAATCTAACTATCCACAATCTCCGGTAACCTTCAATCATTGTTCGAGATCCATTTTAACCACCTACGCTATCTTTACCTTAGTCACCATCAAACTTCATCGTCTTCACGTTAAACACTCACCCAAATCACTACACCCATACCTACTGGTACGTTACTTCTACTCAAATAATCTCCAAAATCATTATTATAATCCCAGCTTCAAATGGAGTAGCTATTTGGAATTTATTTTCCTGTGATTCAGACGTCGAAATAGTTTCAAAAACTAGTAAAGCACGTACATAATATGAGCAGTATAAAAAAATTTGAATCACAAACAATATCAAACTTTCAATTCAAAGCCTTCAACAATGGCAGCCAACTTGCAACGCTCCTTTGACCCTACCATCTGCCCTTCAATTATTCTGCGACCAACATCCTGTTAGGAAAAGGTACAGGAGATGGTAGCATTGACTAACATAAATAATAAATAAATAAAATGATATAATCATAGTATCGTGCAATCACGGTCTTAGAAGTAATTTCATTCGGATTGGTGTAATCTCGAAAGTGGACTTGTCCCCTCAGATTAACACATTTTTCCATATTTCGTACACTCGAAATAAGGAGATAGAACTCGCTTGGAATTGTTCTTTTCTAAGATAAAGTAGAAGAGAATTGTAGAGTAAAAAGAAGGAATTGGTATATAAAAATAGTGAAATATAGTTTGGTATTTATAAGGAAAAGATAACGGTAAATCAATAATAATTAGAGGTAGTTATAGACACTAAATTTTCGCGTTGCATCCTTCTCCCCTTCCCTTCAAGCAGTCAAGCAGCGCCGCATCCCTCACTCGGTCAAACCAACAGCCTCATCGAATTTTCCGACGATTTCTCGGCACCCATATCATCAACAATCAACAAACAAGGAGCTTTAGTCCCATTAGGACTCTAAATCGAACCTAAAATAAGAATACGAAGCACTATAAATAAATGAAGAGACACACACGAAAAGGGGAGGAATCTACCGGGGGAAAGGCTCCGAGGAAGCAGCTTGCCACTAAGGCTGCAAGGAAATCTGCATCTACCACCGGCGGAGTCAAGAAGCCTCACCATTACCGTCCTGGAGCCGTCGCTCTTCGTGAAGTCCGTAAATATCAAAAGAGCGTAGAACTTTTGATCCGCAAGTTACCCTTCCAACGCCTTGTTCGTGAAATTGCCCAAGGATATTCAACTCGCCGCTCATCAGGTCCAGTACCTACGCTTGCGAGCTGTGTGGGGTGTCGTGCACCGAGGAAGGGGAAGCGATCATCCGAAGCACCTTGGCGAGGGAAGTGGCGGTGGTGATGGAGTACAAAGGGTTGAGCCTGAACGGGCAGTGGATTTCGTGATAAAGCATGGGTGGGGAGGAGGCAAAAACAATCTGAATTTTTACAAATAAATTGAAGATGTTGCGTGGAAGTGGAAATGAGACAAATCCCACGTGAAAGTGGACTTTGGGGTAAACTCTCCCTTTGGTCTTTCAAATGTTATGAGTAAAATCTTCTTAAGGCCCTCTGGACTTTGTACATTTCCATCATGGTCACTAATGTAGTTTTTTTCTTATTTCGATCTCTTAATTCTATAATGGTTGTGTTTTAGTCACTATTTTTGTGTGTTCGGTATTTTGAGTTGATTTTCGAATTTTACCTTATGATTCATCTTTTTTTCTTTTTAGTCACTGTTTTACATTTAGTTTAATTATCATTTAGTCCTCCAAATTTTTGGTTTATTTATTTATTTTTTATTTTCATTTTTATTATTTTATTATTATTTTTACTAAATTTCATTTATCTTTATTTGTCTATTTTCTTTAATTTTATTATTATACTAACATTTTTTTTGCATATTTACTTTTATTTTATCTAACATATTTTTTAGTAGTAATTCCAACCAATCAGAGGTAAGTAAGTCGAATCGAGTTTTTAAATTTTTAATTTAAATTTCAAATTTTCACAATTAAAGACAACCGAAAAAATTAATTGGTACTGAAAGGGCGGTCAAGGGTTTTAATCATTCTTTGACTGTAACCGACTCCCGATCCCGATCCCGATATATTTCTGGTAAAACGCAGATCATGTAAGATGGTGCCCGATCCATCTAAATATTTTTAAAATGATCGATGGCGACTCTAACCCATTTTTCAAGTCGAAGCCCAATTCCGGGTCCAACCGAAAGACGGTCGCGACAACTTGGCGACTCAGCTGGGGACATGTAAGTGAGTCAAGCCAGAATTAATTTTCGGTTTTCTTTTTATGCGAAAAATAATAAATTTTATTTTTATTTTTTTAATTCGATTCCAATTATCTACCTTTGATCATTTTTCAAATAAATAGTTGTACAAACATTTTTTCAATAATTTCAGATTTTTGAAAAGTTTCTATCTCTGGCTCTATACCTGAGCTCCAAACCCTTTTTAAGTGGGGGTGAAAGCGACGCCTTCGTGAGAATTTATTCTCCGTGCGGGCCTAGCAAGTAACCTTCAGGATTCATATACCTTATGTCTTCGTGTGAATTTGTTCACCTTGCGGGCATAAGGGAATGTATCCTCTCGAGTTTAACTTAGTACACATAAGCTTGTAATAGGCTTAGGACTAAGGGTCTGGCAAGCCTAAGGGGGCACCAGCAAGGAGAACTCAGGTACCTTTTTTAGAACCTAAACCGGAAAACTACATGGAATTAGAGCCCACCCTGAAACCTCATTTCAAACCCTAGGCTATTTTGAGTTTATTTCCTGTCTTATTTTATGTTCAAAGCATTTGCTAGAAATTTATGCAGTTATGACTTGTTCAAAATCAACTTGTGGGATAGAGATCATGTCCAGGTAGGAATAATAAGCATGTGGGGTAAATATCATGTGGGGTAGAACTTTTATTTTCATGATTGTGTTTTTATCTTTAACTCACTATCTCTTTTCATTTTTGTTCTCTTTTATTTTATTTTCATTTTTTGCATCATTAATTCAAAAGAGGTGTTGATCCCCAAAAACGTGTTCGTTAAACATAAATAATTTGCATTAATGGATAAAGGAGTTATAATACAATAGATGAAAAGCTCAAAAGTCCCACTATGGTCAGAGAATACTCATAATGGACTGGGATTTACACTGTGCACTCCAAAAGTCAACTTTTTGAGTTAGCCAAAAGTTACAGGGGCATATGAAAATGTTGCTGACCTGGAGAGTCCCTTCAAAGATAACAAGAACAATATGACAAAATGGTAGCTGAAATTAGATATCATTATTGACGAGTTTGAGGATAATTCCTATCAATAGAGGACTCAAATGGCGCTTTCGTTAGGAGAAGGCTCAGTAGAGAGTGAAAGCCGGAGATGCAGTGATTCGAGACTTTTTGGAGCAAGTAGCTCGTCACTTGCACATTTTAGCCAGAGAAGCTGGAGCGATTCGACAAGTTATTCAACCAGTAACAGGAGAATGCGGAAGCTAAATCAACCTATCAGAAGCT